TAATAACGTTTGTGTAACAATGCAGTGGTAGGGGGGGAACCCCTCTAAATATCTGTTCAATGAATAAAGAAAAAAATAAATGAGAAAATAAACTTCACCAGTCAAATCCATAAATCTCTTGGCTATGAAAACTAGGGCAGATCCATTTATTTTTCCCTACACTCCTTGCTTTCTTCTCCTCTTACAATTTCCTATCCTCTAAACCATACTTAGAAGCTCCTCTTTTCTGACGCCTGGCTAGTTGAGAAGTCTCTCATTCCCTCTTCCTTGCTATAATCCTCCCAGAACCCCTAAGGCCCTTTCTGTTTAATGGTGCTTTGGAGAAGTAAATAGAACTAAAATTTTGTATATGTGTCTGTGTCCATTTTGACTGCTTTACTTAGCAGTAATTCTGGGTTCTTTGCATATTCTGCAAGATCTGACTCTAGCTGGGAAATCAAATTTGGTTTTTGATTTTTCTTCTCCTAAACTCTATTGTACAAACCTTATCAAGGAATGAAAATAAAGTCCCCAACATCTCACCAACCATTTAATTTCTCCCTATGCCAAGGTAACTTTTTGGGGTGGTGGAAATTTTCTAACTCTTGCTTATACATTTGCATTCATTTATCAAAAGTCATCAAACTGTATACCTTAAAAAGGGTGAATTTTACTTTATGTAAAGCATATCTCAATAAACCTGACCAAAACCAAAAACAAAATCTCTCTATGCCCTCTCTTGCATACATAATTTTATGGTGTTAACATTTTTCTCTTTACTCAAACTCCTTAAGAGGCCTGGAGGGTCATGTCAGCAGGCCAGTCAAATATATATGTGTATACACACACACACACACACACAAATATATATCTATATATCTCTCTATATATACATATACACACAGAGTATATCTATATATCTATATCTATATATAGATATAGATTTTTTTTTTCAGATATGTCGCCCAGGCTGGAGTGCAGTGACGTGATCTTGGCTCACTGCAACCTCCACTTCCCGGGTTCAAGTGATTCTCCTGCCTCAGCCTCCCAAGTACCTGGGATTACAGGCACCCACCACCATGCCCGCCTAATTTTTGCATTTTTAGTAGAGACAGGGTTTTACCATATTGGACAGGCTGGTCTCAAACTGCTGAACCCAGGTGATCCACCTGCCTTGGCCTCCCAAAGTGCTGGGATTACAGGCGTGAGTCACTGCGCCCAGCCTATATATCTATATCTATATCTACTTATCTATCTATATATAGAGAGAGTGGCTTGGTCTCACAACTCAACTCTAGCATAGCACCACATGATGCTTAGCAGACTTATCTTTTTTTAAATTAAATTTTTAAAAATTATTTTTAGTAGAAACACGGTTTTGCTATGTTGCCCAGGCTGGTCTTGAACTCCTGATTTCAAGTAACACTCCTACCTTGGCCTCCCAAAGTATTGGGATTATAGGTGTGAGCCACCACACCTGGCTACAAACTTCCTTAAACATTCCTTTCTGGTAACTCCAAGTTCTTAGACCACACTTTGTTCTTCTAAACAATTACAAATTAAAGAATCTCTGGCCCTGCACAGTGGCTGACGTGTGTAATCTTAGCACATGCCTGTATTCCCAGCACTTTGGGAGGCTGGAGTGGGTGGATCACTTGAGGTCGGGAGTTCAAGACCAGCCCAGCGAACGTGGTGAAACCCCATCTCAATTCAATTGTGCCACTGCATTCCAGCCTGGGCAACAAAGTGAGACTCTGTCTCAAAAAAAAAGAATCTCTGAACCCACCTATGACCTGTATTCCCCTGCTTCAAGATATCTTGCCTTTTGGGACCAAACCAATGTATAACCTGCATGTATTGATTGATGGTTTTTTGTGTAACTTCTGCTTCCCTGAAATGTATAAAACAGAATTACATTCTGACTGCCTCAGGACTACTTATTCAAGGTTTCCTGGGTTTGTGTTTTCTGCAGGCCACGGTCACTCACATTGGCTCAGGTTAAACATCTCTGAAATATTTTTCATGATTTGTTTTTTTTTTACATTAACACAAAATAAAAGCCGTTTTCTTAGTACCGTATTCCCACTTCATTTTTTTAAAAAAAACCTTTGTGGCAGGGTGCAGTGGCTCATGCCTGTAATCCCACCACTTTGGGAGGCTGAGGTGGGCAGATCACCTGAAGTCAGGAGTTTGGGTCCAGCCTGACCAACATGGGAGAAACCCTATCTCTACTAAAAATACAAAATTAGCTGGGCGTGGTGGCGTATGCCTGTAGTCCCAGCTACTTGGGAGGCTGAGGCAGGAGAATTGCTTGAACCTGGGAGGCGAAAGTTGTGGTGAGCTGAGATCACATCACTGCACTCCAGCCTGGGCACTTTGTCTCAAAAAATAATAAATCAATAAATAAACCTTTGCATGTCGTTATACTGCCCTGAAGCAGTGATTCTGAGAAGGGTTAGTCACTAGGCAGTAGGCCAAACCAGTGAGATCATAATGTCTGGTAAGATCAGTGTCAGTCTGTTTTCTGTTGCTGTAACAGAGTATCACAGATTGGGTAATTTATAAAGAAAAGAAGTTTATTTCGCTCATGGTTCCGAGGGCTGGGAACTGTGGAGGAGCCATATCTGGCCTTCTTACTGTGTCATAACATGACAGAAAGCAAGAGGGCAAGAGCATACATGTCAGCTCAGGTCTCCCTTCCTCTTCTTATAAAGCCATCAGTACCATCATGGGGGCCCCAAGCTGATGACTAAGTCTAGTTCTAATCATCTCTTAATACTGTTACAATGGGGATTAAGTTTCTTTCTTTCTTTCTTTGTTTTTTTTTGAGACACAGTCTTACTCTGTCACCCAGGTTGGAGTGCAGTGGCATGATCTCAGCTCACTGCAACCCCTGCCTCCTGGGTTTAAGTGATTCTCCTGCATCAGCCTCCTGAGTAGCTGGGATTACAGGTGCCTGCTAGCACACCCGGCTAATTTTTGTATTTTTAGTAGAGATGGAGTTTCACCACGTTGGCCAGGCTGGTCTCAAACTCCTAACCTCCCAAAGTGTTGGGAATACAGGCGTGAGCCACCGTGTTAGGCGGGGATTAAGTTTCAACATGCGTTTTGGTGGGGACATTTAAACCCTAGCATTCTGCCCCTGCCAACTACCCCAAACTCATGACCTTCTCACAAATAAAATATATTCATTCCATCCTACTGGCCCCAAAAGTCTTAATTCACTTAGCTATCAACTCAAACAGTCCAGAGTGTCATCTGAATCAGATATGGGCATAACTCAAGGGATAATTCCTCCTCAAGTGACTTCTCTTCAGCTGTAAACCTGTGAAGTCAAAACAAGTTACCTACTTCCAAAATACAATGGTGAAATGGGCATAAGATAGATATTCCCATTCCAGTGGGGGAAACAGGCAAGAAAAAAGGGGTAACTGGTCCCAAGTAAGTCTAAAACCCAAACAAAAACCAAACCAAAACAAAACAAAAAACATTAAATCTTAAAACTTTAGAATGCTCTTTCAGTCCATGTGCAATCTTCTGGACACACTCAGAAGTTTGGGCCTCCAAAGCCTCAGGCAGCCCCACCCCTATGTCTTTGCTGGGCTGGATCCACATTTCAACTCTCTGAGGTTTGGGTCTCATGACCACAGCTCTCCCAGGCTGGTATTGCACATTGGTAGCTCTATAGTTTGGGGGTGTGGGTGGCAGTCTTCTAGGCTGTGAGTTTTCCAAATCTTTCCACTCTACTTCCCTTTCAAGTATAAGTTGTCTTTAAATCATCTCTTCCCTCTTATTTTCCTGTAAGTAGTTCAAACTAGCCATGCAATAGCCTATATGTTTTTGTTGCTTAGACATTTCTTCCATCAGATATTCTATTTCATCACTCTTAAATTCTGCCTTCCATAAAGCCTGACACAGACACAGCTCAGCCAAGTTCTTTGCTACTTTATAACAAGGATGGCCTTTGCTCCAGTTTCCAATACCATTTTATTCAGTTCCATCTGAGACCTCATCAGAATGGCCTTTACTGCCCATATTTATATCAACATTCTTTTTTTTTTTTTTTTTTTTGAGACGGAGTCTCACTCTGTCGCCCAGGCTGAAGTGCAGTGGCCGGATCTCAGCTCACTGCAATTCTCCGGCCTCAGCCTCCCGAGTAGCTGGGACTACAGGCGCCCGCCACCTCGCCCAGCTAGTTTTTTGTATTTTTTAGTAGAGACGGGGTTTCACCGGGTTAGCCAGGATGGTCTCGATCTCCTGACCTCGTCATCCGCCCGTCTCGGCCTCCCAAAGTGCTGGGATGACAGGCTTGAGCCACCGCGCCCGGCCTATATCAACATTCTTGTCATGATCACCTGAGTACAGCTGACCCTGGAACAACTCAGGGGTTACGGGCATCAACTTCCACGCTACGTATAACTTTTAACTCCCCAAAAATGTAACTACTAATAGTCTACTGTTGACCAGAAGCCTTACTGAAATATAGTCGTTAACACATATTTTTTGTTATACATGTTAGATACTATATTCTTATAATAAAGCTAGAGAAAATATTAAGAAAATCATGAGAAATTATATTTAGTAAATATAATCCACTATATTATATAGATCATCATAAAGGTCTTTATCCTTGTCATTTCATGTTAAGCAGGCTGAGAAGGGGAGGGGACGGGGACTGGTCTTGCCATCTCAGGGGTGGCAGAGGCAGAAGAAAGTCCATAAGTGGACCCACATAGTTGAAACCCAAGTTGTTCAAGGACCAACAGTAATCTCTAAGAAGTTTCAGACTTTCCCTAGTCTTCTCTTCTAAGCCTTGGCCAAAATCACCCTTAATGCTCCATTAGATAATACAGGCTTTGTCTGACCTGATCTTCCAAATTTTTCAAGCCTCCACCCATTACTCAGTTCCAAAGCCACTTCTACATTTTTGTGTAAATGTCAGAGCAGCAAACCTACTTATGACTACCAGTATTCTGTCTTGTTACATTCTGTGTGACTCTAACTGAATACCATATACTGGGTAATTTATACAGAATAGAGGTTTATTTAGTTCACAGTTCTGAAGGCTGAGAAGTCCAATATAAAGGTGCAGGCATCTGGTGAGGGCTTACTTGCTGCATCATGACATGGTAGGAGGCATCAAAAGGCAAGACAGAGCAAGCATGTGTCCCAGTTCACATTGCTCTTCCTCTCCTCATAAAGCCACCAGTCCCATTGTGGAGGCTCCACCCTGATGAACTTATCTAATTCTAATCACTCTTAAAGGCCCCCCACCCAGTACTGTTACAATGGGGATTAAGTTTCAACATGAATTTTGCTGGGGATATTCAAACCATAGCAATCTCTCTCCAGCTGTAAACCTGTGAAGTCAAAACAAGTCATCTACTTCCAAAATACAATGGTGAAATGGGCATAAGATAGACATTCCCATTCCAATGGGGGAAACAGGCAAGAAAAAAGGGGTAACTGGTCCCAAGTAAATCTATAACCCAACCAAAAAACAAAACAAAACAAAAAAACATTGAAACTTAAAACTTAAACCATAGAAAAAATTTCTTGGTGTCACCAAAACAGTTCTTTATAAAATTAACTTAAAACTGCCACCAATAAAATTCAGATTTAGTCATAGGGAAATCTGGAGTAGGTGTGAGAACATCCAAGGGCCTGCATAGTAACTCATCAGGAATGGACTCACTTCTGAGGAACTACAGCAAGTCATGGTCAGGTTTCTCTTCTCTTTGCCTCTGGTGCTCACCAGTGTGATGCCAACAAGTTCAGTCCATGTATAGCTTTAGAGATTACTATACTCAGGCATCTACTCTAAAGGGTGCAAGTCCAAGTCACTTTTCGTACCTACATATATGAGCGGGTACTGAAATTCAACAGATATGAAAAAGAATAGAGGCTGGAACTGGTGGCTCAGGCCTGTAATCCCAGCACTTTGGGAGGCTGAAGTGGGAGGATCACTTGAGTCCAGGAGTTTGAGACCAGCCTGGGCAACATGGCAAAACTCTGTCTCAACAAAAAATACAAAAATAAGCTGGGTGTGGTGGTGTATGCCCCCAGGGCTCAAGCAATCCTCCCACATCAGCCCTCTGAGAAGCTGGGAGGCTGCACTACCTCCTAGATTGCTTGAGCCCCAAAGGTCAACACTGCAGTGATCCATGATCACACCACTGCACTCCAGCCTGGGTGACAGAGCAAGACCCTGTCTCTAAAAAAAAAAGGAAAATGTAAAAAGAAAATAGAGAAGGAACCCAAACTGAAAAACCATGTCCTCTTCCAATAAAGCTCAAAGACATAATTTTACATTATTGCTATCAATGCCAACTCATCACTTCATTTTCTTCCTGCATAAACAGGACCCTCATAATTTTTTATGCTATCAAGGTAATAAAAAATTCCAAGTTTTAAATTCTTTCAGTGAGCCTTGCCACTGGTCCACCAAATAGCCCTCCTTAAATCCTGAAAGCAGGCTGGATGCAGTGGCTCATGCCTGTAATCCTAGCACTTTGGGAGACCGAGGTGGGTGGATCACCTGAAGTCAGGATTTTGAGACCAGCCTGGCCAACATGGTGAAACCCTGTCTCTACTAAAAATACAAAATTAGCTGGGCATGGTGGTGCATGCCTGTGGTCCCAGCTACTCAGGAGGCTGAGGCATGAGAATCACTTGAACCCTGGAGGCAGAGGTTGCAGTGAGCCAAGATCGCACCATTGCACTCCAGCCTGGGCGACAAGAGTGAAACTCTGGCTCAAAAAACAAACAAACAAAAAAACAAAAAAACTCCTGAAAGCAATCATTGGAAACTTTATCTGATTATCTTCTCCCATAGGCTTTGCATTTCTCCTAGCCTCTAATTATAATGCCCCATCTCATCATAATCATAATGCCATATGCCCTAAACCTCAAAATGTTCTGCAAATTCTTCCAACTCCAGTAGCTCCAGAAGATGCAGACTGATAATACAGCCCAAATGTGAACATGATAAGGAATTAAGTGCTGCCATTTCCTACCTGGGGGATAAAATAAACTAATCAAACATGGTCCTTAAGTGTGAGAACTTAAAATGAAGTTAGGAAAACAGTAACAATTTATACAACACAAGACCAGAGGAATATCAATAGACACAATCAGGAGACCAGTGGAATCCCTAACTTGATGTGCAATTGATGTTGAGAACATAAGGGGGCTTACAGGGAGTGAGACAAAGGATTTGGGCTATGAGGGGATGACTTCCCAGAAGAAGCGAGATCCTGAAAGAAATGTACTATTTGGACAGGTGAAGGACTGGCCTTTTCAGATGAGGGAAGCAGCAGGAAGAAAGGCAAAGAGGGAGGAAGTACCACTGCATGTGAAGAAGATAAGGGAGGCCCTGGTGGGGCTGGGGTAGAGCAGGCATGTTGGGGAGGCAGAGGAGAGAGGACAGTGGAGGAGCAGTAGGGCTTAACTGCAGATAGCCCTGTTCCATTGATGAGTTTCTTTCTGGTATGCCACTTCTGATGCTGAATGAAACTTGCATTCCATCTGAAGGCTTTCCCACACTCCTTACACTCATAAGGTTTCTCCCCAGTGTGAACTCGCTGATGCTGAACCAGAGTGATCTTCTGACTGAATGTCTTCCCACATTCCTGGCATTCATAGGGTTTCTCCCCAGTGTGGATTCTCTGATGCACTATGAAGTGGGAGCTACAACTGAAAGTTTTCCAACATTCATTACATTTGTAGAGTTGTTCCCCAGTGTGGAACCTCTTGTGCTGAAGAAATACTGAACTGTGGTGGAAGGCCTTGCCACACTCTTTACATTCATAAGGTTTCTCCCCAGTGTGGATTCTCTGATGCTGAATCAGAATTGAATTAGAACTCAAACTCTTCCCACACTCCTTACATTCATGGGGCTTCTCCCCAGTGTGAATTCGTTCATGGATGATGCAGTCATAGCTACACCTGAAGACTTTCCCACATTCCTGACATTTAAAGGGCTTCTCCCCAGTATGGATTCTCTGATGCTCAATCAGTTTTGAATTATAGCTGAAGGTTTTCCCACAGTCAGTACATTCACAGGGCCTCTGTCCACCATGGAGCTTCTGATGCTGAAAAAGGTGGGAATTTTGACCAAAGGCTTGTCCACATTCCTCACATGAGTATGGTTTCTCTCCAGTGTGGATTTTCTGATGCCATGACAGTTTTGAGTTGTATCTGAAGGTTTTCCCACATTCTTTGCATGTGTAGGGCCTCTCATTAGTGTGAATTCTCTGATGCTGGTGAAAGTCTGAATGTGGGTTGTAGTAACTGCCACACTCACCACATTTATAAAACACCTGTTCTTTGGCAAAGTCTTGCTTTGTAATGAGATGTGTGCTGACACTACTTTCTTCCAATTTCCTGGCTATCTCCTCCCTTTCAATGGTGGAAGATTTATGATCCTGGACTGCCAAATCTGTGCAATCCCCTATATTTGTTTTCTTCCCTGTATCATGTTGTGACTTCTCTAACCTGTCCTTGAAGTCAGGGTGCTGGGGAATGTTCATCAGCAGTCCCTCCACTATCAGTCTGTGGGACTCTGATTCTTTAGAAATGTTTAGCTGTGCAGTTTGTTCCTCATTCTTAGTCTTGGTTTTACCACCTAGCATGATAAAAAGAAAACACAAGAGTCCCTTATTTATGCCAGAAGGGAAAGGGATTAATCAGTATCAGCCTGCCCTAGACACATGAATTTTTTTTTTTTTTTTTGAGATAGAGTTTCACTCTTGTTGCCCAGGCTGGAGTGCAATGGCATGATCTTTTTTTTTTTTTTTTTTTGAGATAGAGTTTCACTCTTGTTGCCCAGGCTGGAGTGCAATGGCATGATCTTGGCTCACCACAACCTCTGTCTCCCAGTTTCAAGCGATTATCCTACCTCAGCCTCCCAAGTAGCTGGGATTACAGGCATGTGCTACCATGCCCATCTAATTTTTTGTATTTTTCGTAGAGATAGAATTTCTCCATGTTGGTCAGGCTGGTCTTGAATTCCTGACCTCAGGTGATCCACCCACCTCAGCCTCCCAAAGTGCTGGGATTACAGGTGTGAGCCACCACGCCCACTAGACACATGAATTTTTTGAGAAAGACATAGCCACCTGATGGTACCTCAAAGGGAAAGTAAACAAACTGAAGGTTAAGAAGGTAAGCAATCCCATATGGATGACAAAAAACAAAAACTGTGGATGGCAGAAGCTATTGATTGAGGCAAATGGTTAAAGAAAAATGGGAATGGGGTGAAGTTGCAGGAAGGGGAAGCAATAAAGAAAAGTAGAGGAAGCCAAAAGTGAGAAAAGCAATCTCTAAACCAGAGAAGAGAAAGATGGGTAGGCAGCTGTAGTACCACATAGTATGCAGAGGGCTGGGAGGTACTGTCTACAACAGTGGATCTCAAAGTCCAATAAAACCTGTCAAAATACTTTAAAATATTCTGTAATTTTTAAAGAAATGTTCTCTAGTTCTCTATCACAAGCATGGCTGGACAGAAAGCAGTTTGTAACACTGCTGTTTACAAAGGGGTCATGAGAAGACCACAATTTTAAAACCCAAGTGCTGTCCTTTGGGAGACTGACCTTTGAAAGGAAAAAAGACAGGTTCAGCCAAGAACCTGCCCATAATGGAGATGGCAATTGGATTGGGGGCATGGGGATCATGCTTTCACTGGTAGCACAACATAGAAATCTTTTTTGCCTTGTCAAGCACCAAAGATCTGACAAATGAAACTTTCATCTTAGTGTTTTTCAAGCCTTGTTGACCATGACTCACATTTTGGATCCTAAAACAATACAGACATGCTTGCACACACACACACACACACACACACACACACACACACAGCTGAAACCGAAACAAAACAACGTCCTTATTAAGAGTGATGTATTCACGCCGGGCGCAGTGGCTCACACCTGTAATCCCAGCACTTTGGGAGGCCGAGGCAGGTGGATCACCTGAGGTCAGGAGTTCGAGATCAGCCCGGTAGTTCGAGATCAACATGGTAAAACTCCGTCTCTACTAAAAATACAAAAAAGTAGCTGGGTGTGGTGGCGGGCACCTGTAATTCCAGCTACTCATGAGACTGAAGCATGAGAATCGCTTGAACCCGGGAGGCAGAGATTGCAGTGAGCCAACATCGTGCCACTGCACTCCAGCCTGGGGGAGAGAATGAGACTGTCTCTCCAAAAAAAAAAAAAGATGCATTCACAATAGACTTTATACTACTTTAGTCTTTATTTACACCTAATACAGAGTAGTCTAAGTTTTAAAAGCTGGTAACAACTCATTGATGAGTTGCAACCCAGAGTTAAAGAATACAGTTCTAGATTTTCAAGAACAGTGGTCTCAAATGGTGGTCCCTGGACCACTATCATCTGGGAACTTGTTAGATATGCAAATTAATGGGGCTGGGTTTGGTGGTGTGTGCCAGTAGTCCCACCTAATTAGGAGGCAGAGGTGAAAGAATTACTTGAGCTCAGGAATTTGAGACCAGCCTAGGCAAAATAACAAGACCCTATCTTGAAAAAAAAGAAAAAGAAATGCAAATTCTCAGCCCTACACCAGTCTACTGAATTCGAATCTCTGGAGGTGGCATCTGGCAATCTGTGTTTTAACAAGCCCTGCAAGTAATTCTGATACATACCAGAATTTGAAATTTACTAATCTATAAACTACAAAAGACAGATTGAGGCTGCTCTTTTCATTGTTTAAGGCTGCACTTTCCCAAAAGGTGGCCACTAGCCACATGTGGCTATTTAAGTGTAAATTAATTAAAATGGAATAAAATTAAAAACTCAGTTCCCCAGTTGCACTAGGCACACTTCGGGTGCTCATGTGATTCATCTGGCAGGCTAAATAGACAATGCGCACCTGTGGCAAGGGGCAACGCTAACAACTGCAGGCAGGATACTGGGAAAGCCGCTAGAGGATCTGAAACGCTGAAGTCAATTTAAGGCATTGATTAAGGCAAAGTAGGGGGATTAGAAAGGAGCATTTGCCTTACAGAGGCTCTGAAGAGCATAAAAGATTGACAGAATATGATAACAGAGCCCATAGAATGAGGAAGGCTATATACCAAATCTCTGATTGGTCTTTACATTTATCTCAATTCAGTATCTTTCAAAAAAGAAAACCATTCATTCCCAATACATAAACAAGCTTTCTTTCAAAAGCTAATATAAAATTCAGTGTTTAGGAATTTAGAAAAATTCCATTTACATATATAGTTTTATACACACACACAAAATGTTCTTATAAAAACAAGTTCTAGCCAGGTGTGGTGGCTCACACCTGTAATCCCAGCACTTGGGGAGGCTGAGGTGGGAGAAGCACTGAGGTCAGGAGTTCAAGACCAACCTGGGCAACATGGTGAAACCCTGTCTCTATTAAAATTAGAAAAATTACACGGGCGTGGTGGCAGGTGCCTGTAATCCCAGCTACTTGGGAGGCTGAGGCAGGAGAATTGCTTGAACCTGCGAGGCAGAGGTTGCAGTGAGCCAAAATTGTGCACTGCACTTCAGCTTTCAGAGCAACTCTGTCTCAAAAAATAAATAAATAGGCCAAGTGCGGTGGCTCACGCCTGTAATCCCAGCACTTTGGGAGGCCAAGGCGGGCGGATCACCTGAGGTCAGCAGTTCGAGACCAGCCTGACCAACATGGAGAAACCGCGTCTTTACTAAAAACACAAAATTAGCTGGGTGTGGTGACGCATGCCTATAATCCCAGCTACTTGGAAGGCTGAGGCAGGAGAATTGCTTGAACCTGGGAGGCGGAGGTTGTGGTGAGTGAAGATCACGCCATTGCACTCCAGCCTGGGCAACAAGAGTGAAACTCTATCTCAAAAAATAAACAAACAAACAAATAAATAAATTTTTTAAAAACCAAGTTCTTGGCCAGGCGTGGTGCCTCACACTGTAATCCCAGCACTTTGGGAGGCCGGGGCAGGGGTGGCGGGCGTGGATCCTGAGGTCAGGAGTTCAACACCAGCCTGGCCTACACAGTGAAACCCCATCTCTTCTAAAAAATTAGCCAGGCACGGTGGCGCACGCATGTAGTCCCATCTACTCAGGAGGCTGAGGCAGGAGAAACACTTGAACCCAGGAGGCGAAAGTTGTGGTGAGCCATGATCGTGCCACTGCACTCCAGCCTGGGCAACAGAGCAAGACTCTATCTCAAAAAAAACCAAAAAAAAACAAAAACAAAAAACAAAAACCAAGTTCTTACTATATTGTGTTTATATTCCTGAGCTGACCAACCAACAGAAGCCTGTTTGAAATCTTTTTTTTTTTTTTTTTTAAGAGATAGGGTCTCACTCTGTCACCCAGGCTGGAGTGGAATGGTGTGATCCTAGCTCACTGCAACCTCAAACTCCTGGCTCAAGGGATCCTCCAGCCCCAGCCTCCTGAGTAGCTGGCACTACAGGCACATGCCACCATGCCCAGCTAATTTATTTATTTATTGCAGTGACGGGGTATTGCTATGTTGCTCAGGCTGGTCTTGAACTCTTGGCCTCAAGCATCCTCCCACCTTGGCCTCCCAAAGTGCTGGGATATAGGTGTAAACCACCACACCCAGCCTGAAATCCTTTAGCTTTACAAAGAAAAATGGCAGAAATAAAATGGTGGGAGTGGTCTTTTCCAGTTTGGAGATGAAGTTCTGGTAAGCAACACTTCTTTGAATAAGAGTGACTATTTTAATGCCCACAACCATCATACGACAAGGAAAAACTCTTTTTCATGCTAAATTGTTAAAAGAAAGGAGGAGGCAAAGCTGGAAAGGAGGATGGTAGGCTTTCCTGCTCACCTGTGCACATGCCTCTCAGGGCCTCTCCCCCAGCAAGTGTCCAGGGATCTGGGCCCCATGCTGCTTCTCCTTGCTCCAGCTGGAATATCAGATCTGGTTTGGAGAATGGAAATGCTGCTAGAGGAGAAAGAAAAACAGGAAGCTGAGGAGAATCACCACTGACCTCCCTCTGACTACTCTCTGCTTTGCCAGGTGAAAATAGAAGAGAATGGCCCAGGAGACTAAGTGAAGTCAGGGAGGAGTGAATCTGCAGAATCTAATGAAGGGCTTGAAGCTTACTCTGGCCTCTAAGAGGACAGAAAGCTCCTACAGTCACTGGGGGGTGTATACACAAGGACCCTAAGGGACTCACACATAGGCAATAGGGCCAAGATCACCTCCAGGGAACTGGAAGATGGAAGGAATGAAGGCAGTGCACCAGGAACCTTCTCAGTTCTCTCTGTGCTCAGAGGAAAGCCCCCTGCAGTTGGGTCTCCATTAGGAATCAGGGAAGAGAAAAGTCCTGTTAAACATCAAAGTGAACCCAGCTCTTTCTCCATCCAGCTACTCCTGGCACTGGGGATTAGGGAGCTCAGCCCATAGGGCATCAATTCTGATGGTATTAAGACATCCTAGATCTGCTAAGGAGGAATTTAAGAGCCCCCAAGGACAGAAGCTGAGTTTCAGAGAGGAAGGACTTACACAAGGAAGTCACATTTGCATAATTCTCCAGCATCACCTCCCTGTACAGGGCCCGCTGCATAGGGTGCAGGCTGGCCCATTCATTCTGGGTGAAGTACACAGCCACATCCTCAAAGGTCACCGGCTCCTGAAACAACAGGTTCCTGCTCAAACCCTGCACAAGAACAGAGGGAGAGGCCTGAATTCTAGGAAAGGGATACATTTACTGGAATTCATGGCACTGAGCCCCATGGAAGGTTTGTACTGGCAAGGAGAGCCACACAGGACCCCAGCAGGGGCAGCCCCAGACCAGCATTCCAACTTTCCATGTGCATACCTCTGGGGCCCTAATATTACCATCCTAAGCACAGAGCCCAGCACCTGCTGTTTTCTGCCTGGTGATCATGTCAACCTATGTCTGGTTCCACAGGCCAGGTATATTTTTCTGGCATGCTTTCTAAATCGACCACAGCAGGTAATCGTCTTTCACAGTGCCTCCATCCATCCTGAAGCACCTATCAGGGTCCTCCACTCAGCTTCTTTCTGGTCTTCCTCCTCCAGATTTTCTGCTACAGACAGAGGAGTGATTTCATGGGGATAAAGTTCCTTTCATCCTGGATATTTCTCCCCTTTCTATCATCTTGCCTTATCAGAAGGTATTAATAGTTCTCCCTTGAAAGTGATGTGCAATGTTACTTCTTTGTCTCCTAACATACTTCACTCCAGGACAGGATGGCAATCTCCCATCCTTCTGCAGAGATCTGCCCACTGATCACCTAAGCTCTGTCTGACCTGCCAACGCTGTCCTCTTCACTATGTGTCTCTCTATTTCTGCTTCCCACTAAAACCACTTCCAGTTTCTCAGGGAAGAAGGAAACCATCACAGGTTGTTTAGAGCTTTGTGTCAGCTACTTTTAAATCAATTTGCTCAATCATTATAGCACATCTGTGAAATAAGAATTATTATGTCCATTTTCAGATGATGGGAATCAGCAATATTAAACACTTTGAAATAGACTAAAAGGAGTCCTCTTTGAGTATTTATAACAAGGTTGTATAAGGAAGCAAAAAGTGCAAAATGAACTGACCACTTTTATATGAATTAGTCCCACTATAACATCTCTCTCTGACTCACACTGTAGTCTTTCTCAGTTCATCATGTCAACAACCTTCTCTTTGTACTTAAGTCTCTTCTGAGTGAAGAAATATAACATAGAAGTACTAGAAGATTTGGACTGGTCGCGTGGCTCACGCTTGTAATTCCAGCACTTTGGGAGGCCGAGGTGGGCATATTGTAAGGTCAGGAGATCGAGACCCTCCTGGCTAACACAGTGAAACCCCGTCTCTACTAAAAATACACAAAAAATTAGCCGGGCGTGGTGGCGGGTGCCTGTAGTCCCAACTACTCGGGAGGCTGAGGCAGGAGAAAGCCCTGAACTCAGGGGGCGGAGCTTGCAGTGAGCCAAGATCGCACCACTCACTCCAGCCTGGGCAACAGACAGAGCAAGACTCCATCTCAACAAAAAAAAAAAAAAAAAAAAAAAAAAAGAGAAGAAGAAGTACTAGAAGATTTGTATTCATCATTGTAAAGATTGGTTTGGTCAAAAATCATCATGGATGCTATATCTAGGAGGAAATTTTGATGAGAAGCAGAATATTCGCACGACCTTAAATGTCTCCTCATAGATTGCTTATTAGTTACAAGATGAAAACAGTAACTATACAGTAATCAGATTACCCCTTAGCGAGAAAGTTCAAATGTGGCTGGCATGACTGAGGAAATTTAATTGATTTTAATTTAAATAGGCACATGTAGCTAGGGGGTACCTTCCTGGACAGTACAGAATAAATACATCTGTTAATACTCTTGTCTTACTTCCTTCAGAGTCAACAGCTGGGAATATGGATCTCCCTTTTTCTTCACATTATGTTCTACCTCTCCATACCTCTGAAACATCACTCTAATTATCAGCACATTCTTTGGTTCCTTGTTTTCGGAAACACTTAGCTTCTCCAGATCTTCTCTATCTGTGATCATTCTTCTTCTGTCCTTTACTTGCACTTACTCTTTCTCCATTAAGTGGGGCTATTGACTCCCTTCTATAGGAAGTGGGTCACAGGGGCAGCACAACATAGTGGCAAATGGCACAGATGTTAAAGCTGTGGCTCTTAACATGGGGGCAATTTTTTCCCCCAGGGAGTATGTGGCAATGTCTGGAGACATTTTTAGTTGTCAAAACTGCAGTGTGGTGGTAATGGTAGTGCTACTGGCATCTAGTAGATAGTGGGCCAGGGCTATTTCTGAACATCCTATAATGAACAGGACATCCTCCAAACAAAGAATTATCTGGCCCAAATGTAAATGATGCCAAGGTTGAAAAACCTTGCTCTAAGCTGGACTCCCTAGGTTCAAATAGTATCTCTAATACTCATTAGCTGTTAACCTTGGATGAGACAGTTAAACTTTCTGTGCCTCAGTTGCCCCCATTTGTAAAACTGGGATAATAATAGTAATTATCTGATATGACTCTTACAAGGATGGCTTAAGTTATTATCTGTAGGGCACTAAGATATCACCTGGCACATGATATCATATAAATCTCAGCACTTACTACAACCACAGATGCGATTGGGGGAACTTCCTAGAAGATTCTAAATGACAAATGTTCCTCTTAAGAGATTGTAGCAAAGACTGACAGGTGTGTGTGTGTAGCCCCTTTCTTTCTTAGTATTGGAATCCTAATTTTACTTGAGGTTGCACTCAGCCCTGGCAACCCAGTGGGGCCAATGAAATGCAAGTATAAATATTGTTGGGGACTTATGGGAAGGTTCCTAAAAGAGAGAGGTTCACCTTTTTTTTTTTTTTTTTTTTTTTGGCAGCTCCTCTTCTAGCTGGAATGCACACATGATGGCCAGCGATCAAGCAGCCACCTTGGACAATAAAGTGGCCTAGAGCAGGTGAGACACTACTAGGATGGTAGAACAGAAAGACAGAGTCTGAGAGCAGGATAATAGAGGAGCTGCCACACTAGCCCTGGATTGACTCTCGACACTTTTGTATGAGAGGGAAGCCTTTACCTTGTTTAATCCACTGTCATTTGGGGTCCTCTTTGTGGAATCTAATCCTAAGTGATTACTGCACTTCAGGCAAAGCACCAGGAGAGCACAGCATACCCCCACAGAACACTTCCTGACTTGTAGGAATGGATTTTCTCTGAAGTGCTCCAACAGAAGTGGATGGTCCAATATCCACCAAAAGAAGGACACACACATTGTTTTTAAGTCCTTGGGATGGAGCTTTCTTGTTACAAGATACATCCATTACATGACAAACTCAGTTTTCTCATTACATGATCTAGGACACTGGGGAAAAATCCAGTAAAACTATCATCTACCACCAAGAAAATTGGAGGGAAAAGTGCTCCCAATGCTACATGAATTTGTAGCCAGGAAAGGATATAGACTCTCACAGAGGTTAGCCTGATGTCTTTGCATTGAGCTAAAGGCACTGGCTTCAGCTCCAAACTCATCATTCCTCCAAAAATACACTTCCCTCATCAATCTATATTTTCCAGATGCTTCCAGTTCTGGCTTCACTGTACCTTAACTGAGTAGTCTGAAGGGTAAACTACTCCCTTGGAAGTGTCTATTTAACCTCAGAAATGGCTTTTCTTTGTGTACTGTTACGCAGACTAGCACTCCTCAAATTTCAATCTGCCCTTTAATTTTCCAGATCTTGTAAAAATGTAGATTCTGATTCAGGAGATCTGGGGAGGAGGCCTGACATTTTACCTAACAAGTGACCTCTGTGATGCAAAAGCTGCTCATCTCCAGGCCACACTTTCAGTTCTCATGAATGCAGATTCCCATTTTCTAGGATAATTCTTTCCTTTTTTTCCAACCCACCTAACCCTCCAAAGTTCACCTACTCTAGTTCTTCAACTCCCCTCGCATACTGTTTTTACATAGTCTGTCGATGTAAAACTAAGCATGGGACTGGTCAAGTCAGGCTACTGGGCCTGTACTGACCTTCCATATCTGTTCTGAGTACGGAAAGCTGAAAGAAAGCTCTGCTCACCTGGAACCACACTGTCTGGAGCATGGCTGATGACTCCTGGCTTCATGCACTGCCCTCTAGGTTTGGAAAAGTAAGAACCTGCTGAGCTAAGAGAGAACCACAATGAGACTGATCCTGTCTGTCTCCTACACTTGCCGCCTCTTCCCCTGTCTCCTGCCACTAGCACTGCAGATATTCTTGGCACACTAGCTGTTCTCATTCACCCTCTCCACTGATTCATGGGATGCTGCAAATGCTCCCTCTGCATATTCTCCTATAGATCTGCTCGGTGACACTGGAGACTCTAGAAAGAATATCTGTAAAGCAAGAATCAAGAACTGCAGTGGATGCGTGGCTGTTTTTTTTTAAAAAAAGAAAACTTCTTGGCTCCACTATGAATACATTACTAAGTAGTTTGTATTGACTGAATGCTTCTAGTGATCGTGGCAAAAACCCAAAACAAGTCTCTGGAGAGAAAGTAGGATATAACGGAGACCCCTAAACAAACCACAGGCTGCAGGACAAAATGCAAGTGGTGACCTAGCCCCGGGTGACAAGGGTAAGACGCTCAATGTCCCAGCGGGTGATGCTGACCGAAGACCTAACCGGGATCTGAACACTCCACCCCGGGAACAGGAGACCCTATAGTCACGGCTCCCATCCTTCCCATGAATACCGCGACCCGAGGACATCAAGCCAGCTCTTCGGAGCAGGAAGGTCGAGTGCGTCTCTGAGGACTGGGGACTGGGCCCAGGCTCGGGCGGCCGCGCTGGCCCCTCGGCGATCTCTGCAAGGGCCCAACGCCCGACCTCCAGAACAGGCAGTCGAGTCGGGGAAGCCCGGGAAACTCAACCCGAGCGCTCGCAAGGCGGCCAAAACGGAAGCACTAGCTAGCCCGCCGTCGGTCCCTACGGCCTCTCTAGGAAGCCGGGAGGCTGGCCCTTCTCTATGGTTCCCCCGAAACCAAACTCCCACCCTTTGCTTCCCTTCTCCACAACCGCTCTGCGCCTGGTTGGCTTGTTTTTTTATTTTAATTAATTAATTAATTAATTAATTAATTTTTGCTTTTGTTTTTGAAACAGGGTTCTTGCTGTGTTGTGCAGGCTGTTCTCGAACTCCTGAGCTCAAGCTGTCCGCCCGCCTCGGCCTCCCAAAGTGCTGGGAATGCAGGCGTGAGCCACCGCGCCCGGCCGCTCCTGGTTTATTATTATTTTCTCTTATGTCTTAGTACCCCAACTACATGATAAATTCCTCCATATTTAACAATTAATTCGTAACTTAATTCCTAACTCCTTACCTAATTTACTTAATTCCTAACTTAACATTCTAATGAATGTATAGCCCCTGTCTCCCACTTAATGACTGTGACCTAAGACCATGGGGTATGGGGTCTCATTGTCTGCGTTCCTGGCTCCACTCTGTATGGACTTGCTCAAGTTATACTTAAATTGTTGCCTCAATTTATCAATTGAGAATGGTAAAAGTTTGTAATTTATAAATTCAGTGGATTAACTGAGTCAATTCATGCGACAGTTCTGTAAACCAAAGATAAAATTCTAAGTCCCCCAACCAACTGAATGGACCACTCCTCTCCGCCAAAACTTTCCAAAGAAAACCTGGTCATCTAGTTCAGGCCATGATGGGAAGCAGGGGATCGGACTTGCCTCATTCTGCTCTTGGAATTCAGGCACTACGAACCAGCATGAACATAAAAACAGAGATCTGGAGACTGATTCCAACTTTTTTTTTCCTCCCCCGAGACGGAGTCTTGCTCTGTCGCCCAGGCTGGAGTACAGTGGTGCGATCTTGGCTCACTGGAACCTCCGCCTCCCGGGTTCAAGCAGTTCTCCTGCCACAACCCCTGAGTAGCTGGGATTACAGACGCCCGCCAACACGCCCGGCTAATGTTTATATTCTTAGTAGAGAGGGGGTTACACCATGTTGGCCAGGCTGGTCTTGAACTCGACCTCGTGATCCGCCCGCCTCAGCCTCCCAAAGTGCTGGGATTACAGGCGTGAGCCACCGCGCCCAGCCCAAAACAAATTCTTTATAGCAATAAGACACCAAATTCTAACCTGACTAGTATAGTCTCACGTGACAGATAACAGGTCCTGAAATAAACTGAAGTATTTTACCCTAAAATGTATTTATTTGACATATTTTGAAATGGCCCTGTAAAGCAGTCTCTTGTGGCGAAAATCCACATCCTTTTGTAAAGAATCCCCTTCACTTTCGAGGTCTTTTCCTTGATCCAGGAGATAATTAACTAACAGAGTCTGGCACCTTTTGAAGTCTGATAAGAAACATTTACAATCGTTTCTCTCTGAAGCCTGCTACCCCGAGGTTTCATCTGCATAATAAGAACATTGGTCTCCAAAACCTCTAATCTTAACCCAGAACATTGGTCTCCAAAACCTCTTAAGATCTTAACCCAGAACATTGGTCTCCAAAACCTCTTATCTTAACCCAGACATTCCCTTCAATTGAT